TCAACACCCTTCACAGATCCAAAATCTTCTAGCATACAATCAAAAAATACTGGACATGAGAATAAGTAGAAACATATGGACCTATTATCAGGAGAAAAGTCAATAAACAGACATAGGCCCAGAAGTGACAGGGATGATGGAAATAGTAGACAAAGACTTGAAAACAGCTAATGTGAATAATTTCAAGGATTTAAAGGAAAACAAGGCAGAAAGAAATGGAAGATTAAAAAAAACAGCTGGAAAAAACTTGAAAACAGAGCAAGAGGAACTACTCATTTTGAAGCACAGAGAGACAAGAGGCTTCAAAACAAGCCTCAGTGCTGGAGGGACACTAGGGGGTGTAAACCATATACGTAACTGGAGGCCCGGAGTGAGAGGTGAAAGTGATGAAGACAGAAAACAACACTTGATGAAATAATGTTCAATTTTTTTCAAGTATGATAGGAAACAAACTCACAGATACAGGAAGTTCAAGAATCTCAAGTGGAATAAATGCAAAGTAAACCACTCCAAAGCTCAGCTTAAACAAATTGCTAAAAACCAGTGATCAAGAGAAAAATCTTAAAGAAGCCAAAGGGAAAAACACTCATTACATATGAGGAACAACAATAAGAAAGACCATTGTCACCTCATGAGAAACAATAAAGGCCAGAAACAACCTAACAACATCTTTAAAGTGCTGAACAAAAATACCTAAAATTCTACATCCAGCAAAATTATATTCTGAAATAAAGATAGTTTCAGGAAAAACAACTCAGGAAATTAAAATGGGCATGACAAGAAATGTGAAAGAAAGTTCTTGAGTTGAAAAAAGATGATACTAAAGGAAACTTGGATCTACAGAGAGGAATGAAGAGTACCAGAAACGGCGCACATGAACACTTTTCCTCATTTATTAATTCTTTTAAAAGACAATTGACTGTTTAAAGTAAAGGTTGGAAAATCACAGCCCATGGGCCAAATTGGGCTTGTTTTTATACAGTCCAAAAGCTAATAATGCTTTTCACATTATTTAAATGACTAGAAAATTATCTAAAGAATAATATTCTGGACACAAGATTATATAAAATTCAGATTTTGTGACATGGGAAAACTAGATAAAGCTTTATTGACACACAGCCACACTCCTTCACTGACATTGTCTATGGCCAATTTTGCACTATAGCAGCAGAGCTGAGAATCTGTGACAGAGACTGCTGGGGCCCTCAAAGCCTAAGATATTTATTATCACCTGGCCCTTCACAGAAAAAGTTTGCCACCCCCTGGTTTAAAGTAAAAATAAGAATCATGTATTACGGGGTTTAAAATATATGCATAATCTCAAAAGGTTACATACTGTATGTTTCTATTTACGTAACATTCTCAAAATGACCAAAGTGCAGAGACAGAGGACAGACTAGTGGTCTCCAAGGGACAGAGACAGAGGCAGGGCACAAAGGGGCAGCATGAGGGAGTTTCTTGTGGTGACTGACCCATTCTGTATCGCGACATGTGGCAACAGACCAGTTCCATATCACAACATGTGGCGATGGACCAGTTCTGTATCGTGACATGAGGCTATGGACCAAATCATGACATGGGATAAAACTGCATAGAACTATATACACACACAAGTGAATGAATGTGAAAAATGAATAAGGTCTGTAGTCTAGTTAAAAGTATTATACCAATGTCTATTTCCTGGCTTTGATATTATACTTTATTACATAAAATGTCATCTTTGGGGGAAGCTGGGTAAAGGGTATGTAGAACTCTATATACTATTTTTGCACCTCCTGTGAATGTACAATTATTTCAAAGTAAAAAGTTTAAAAAATATACAGAAGACATAAAGCAATAATAGCAAAAATGATGGGGAGAATGAAAGTACACTGTTGTAAGGGTTCTTACATTACACGTAAAGTGGTCTAATATTATTTGAAAACAAATTGTGATAAGTTAAAGATGTATATTATAAACCCTAGAGCATCCATTAAAAAAAAAACAGGTAAGGGGCTGGCCCACCGTGGTTAAATTCGCACTCTCCACTTTGGCAGCCCAGGGTTCACAGGTTCGAATCCCAGGCATGGACCGATGCACTGCTCATCAAGCCATGCTGTGGTGGCGTCCCACATACAAAATGGAGGAAGATGCACACAGATGTTAGCTCAGGGCCAGTCTTCCTCACCAAAAAAAAAGGTACATCTAATAATCCAAAAGAGGATATAAAACAAAATACTAAAAATTATTCCAACAATCCAAAAGTAGTCAGAAAAGGAGAAAATAAGGGAAAAAAGAACAGAGCATAGAGCAAAATGGAAGACTTACCCAATCATATCAATAATCACATGAAATGTAAATGGTCTAAATACTCCAATTAAAAGACAGAGATTGTCATACTGGATTTGCTGCTTAAAAGAGATGTACTTTAAAGAAATAGTTTAAAAGTAAAAGGATAGAAAACAGATATACCATGCAACATTAATCGTAAGAAAACTGGAGTACATATATCAGTATCAGACAAAGCCAACTTCAAGACAAGAAGTATTATCAGATTTTCTCAAAAAGATAAATCCCACAATGCTAAAAGAGTCAATTCATTAAGAAACATAACATTCCTCAATGTATACAAACCTAACAACAGAACTTCAAAAATATCAGAAGCAAAAACTGAGACAATTAAAGGAATAAATAAAAACATCCACAATATCTGGAGATTTCAACACTCTTTTCTCAAGAACTGAGAACAAGTTGACAGAAAATCAGTGGAAGACTTGAACAGCCCTATTAACACTATTGGTATTTATGGAACACTATATGCAACAACTGTAGAATATAAATCATTTTCAAGGACACGTGGATTAATAAGCTAAGCCAAGCAAATAACACAGAATAAGCTTCATTATTATCACCATAAATAAACCAACAATAGCAGCATTTTATTTTCACATCCTAATAATGTAAACTTCATGTAGAAAGCCAAAAAGCTGAGAAAGAAAATAGGAAAGTGAAGATCAATTGTGAAGACAAGTTCAATTTGAGTAATTTTTCCTGTTATTGTGGTTATCTAATAAAGTTATCTATATGGTTGTAAATAAATTGCATTAACAAAGTACAAAATTTAAGTTAGTAAAGTTTATATATTTTAACTTCATCTAAGAAAACATTCTAGGGGCCGGCCCGGTGGTGCAGCGGTTAAGCGCGTGTGCTCCCCTTCGGCGGCCTGGGATTTGCAGGTTTGGATCCCAGCTGTGCACCAACACACCGCTTGTCAAGCCATGCTGTGGCGGCATCCCATATAAAGTAGAGGAAGAGGGGCACGGATGCTAGCCCAGGGCCAATCTTCCCCAGCAAAAAGAGGAGGATTGGCATTGGATGTTAGCTCAGGGCTGATCTTCCTCATAAAAAAAAAAAAAAGGAAAGAAAACATTCTAAAAACAATTCCAGGCAAATATTATTCTATAATGTAAAATTTTTTTATGATGAAGATATCTTTTTTTAATCATTAGAGTCAACATGCAATCATTCATGTTAAGAAAGAATATGGGCAGAGAGCCACATAAGAAAAAGAAACAGAAAAAAACTATTTAAACAATATCTGGTCCCAAAGTTTATTACACACGTTCTTTTGTTTCTGTTTTTAAAACAGCTTAAACATCTTTCTCATCTCTTCCTCAGGTCACATAAGTGCTTGAACTCTCACAGCACAGATGGGAAAAAGCAGTACATGCTGGGTGGTGCAAGGAATTTAATAAAACTGGATTCAAAGAACCCTGCCACTCCCTCCCCTCCAAAGAAAAAGATAATTACAATATTTTATTTTATTTATTTATTTTTTTTGTGAGGAAGATCAGCCCTGAGCTAACATCCACGCTAATCCTCCTCTTTTTGCTGAGGAAGACCGGCTCTGAGCTAACATCTATTGCCAATCCTCCTCCTTTTTCTTTTTCTCCCCCCAAAGCCCCAGTAGATAGCTGTACGTCATAGTCGCACGTCCTTCTAGTTGCTGTATGTGGGACACGGCCTCAGCATGGCCTAATTACAACATTTTAATCAGAAGATTCTACCACTACCTTTAGATTATACAAATTTACTTTTTGGAATAATAGAATAATATTAATAACGTATTGATATGTTTGGAAATAATGGAGTTTATTGGCACAGATAATGGAGTTATCTGTGGCAAATGGGCCACAGACATCCTTTCACCAGGATCTTACTGCTTCTATCTCTTGTCCTGATAATACTGTGCTAGACCCCGTTTCTCCTCACAGCACTCTCACATCAGACCATGACATTCCAGTCGGCCCGTTTAGGGTGGGCAAAGCCTTACATAAGAGGTAACTAAATGCATTAAACATCATTAGTCTCTACTAAGAAGTGCTCTTTTACACTCCCAATTCCCCCCAAACTATCCCTAAAAGAGGGTTATAGGGTCTGATTAATTTTAGACTTAGTATTAAAGGTTCTCCCAATTTTGCTGCTCTGGCCATTGGCAGTCCTCTCCCTATACCATTGTTGCTATTGCGCAATGGAAATATAGATGGGGAAAAACATAAACTTAATTACAAAAACTCTAAAGGAAAATTTTGCTTATATTTTAAAATATGATGTACCAGATTTTATAAAATTATCTTATGAAAATCACATTTTGAGGGCGAGTAAGTAGACATTGTCTTCTAATAATAAACATACCCTACACTCCTACAAGAGGAAAGCGTTTTCACATTTTTTTAAATGTACAAATCCTTTTAAGACATAAAAATATGACATTTTATAGAAACAATGCACTCTTAACGAATACTGATCAACTGCTTACTAATTAGATACAGATGTCCCACAGCATTTACTCTTAATTTTGTACAGATGTGAGTGGTATTCTCAATTATAGATTTTACAGAGAAACAAAACCCTATTTAATTGTATCCGTGTCCTGCAAGAATGCATTCTACTTCATCTGGGCATTTTCTCAGAATTCAACTCCAAATAGCACCATTACTAAGAGAGACCAACCAACTCACCTCTGCCATCCCCTAGCAAGAGAGCGTAGACGCGCTGCCGTACAGGGCGGTAAACGAAGGCCTGGCTCGGCAGAGCCTGGTCTAGCGCGTCCTCCAGAGTGTTGCTGCACTCAATCTCTCCAGTGCTCATGATATTGTACACCAGGTAGCTCTCTGCCTGGACATGACGTGCTCGAGCAACCTGTTCAAAATTTAAATACAATACAGCTGATTCTCCTTGAAAACAAAACAGTAAACTTCAAATAGAAAAAATCAACACCTTATTATCACATGCTGGTGTTTTAAAGGCACTCAGAAATAGAATAATTGTCACTCAAACTCAAGACATTAAGCTGGCACTTGTGTTCCTTTCCTTTGGGCTTCTAGGCTCAAAACTTTCTATTACTCCTCCTCCTCCTCCAATCTCCAGCCATCTACTGGACTTATACTCACTTCTGCAGTATCTCATCATTTTATGTACCTGATGGTGAGTGTTGCTATAAAAGGCTTTAACTGACATCCTAGTCCCAGTTTCTCCCCTCTCCAACCTATCCTTCACATCACCGACATCCCGCCTTCTTGGATTCAGAGGTCCAGTCACTACCCTTATCAAAGCATCTGAGTGTCTACCACAAATTCTTCACCCTAACATTCAATGCCCCACTAGAAGGCCTCAATCTCCTTTTCTTGTACACACCATTTCACCCTCACAGAAACTGCTACAGTCCATTCACAATGGAACACTTTCACTGTTCCTCAAGAATATTCAGTCCTCTCCTATCTCCACTTGTGCTCCATGAAATTCATCCCTTCTAGTCTTCCCCAACCTCTCACTTCACAAGTCTCTTTCCCTTTAAGGTTCACCTAAAGCGTCACCCTCTTTATAAACCCTTTCCCCTCCTCTCCCATCCAGAACTCACCTCCCCCTTGTCTTATGGGGCTCAACTCACAGTTACCCTACGGTAGTTATGTTGTCTGACCTCTCCTATTAAACTATAAACTGCTTGGTATTAGAAGCTGTAACACATTCATTCATTTGTTCAATAATTTTTTACTGAGCAAAAGCTATGTGCTGAGTGTTCATTTGTTTCTGCCCTGCAGTGCCAGCACAGTGTTGGCCCATGATCGGTGATAAGATATATGATTTAAATTGATTCCACTTTCTCATTAAATAAGTACTTAAGATCAGAAGGCCTATAACCTACATACAGGTCTTATTTTCCTCTGAAGAACATTCTTATTACTGCAGGAATAAACTCATCTAGCTTACTATTCAAAACTTAAATCCAAACAGTCTGCCACCAAGGCATTTAACACGTGGTGTTTAATGGGGCCACCCCGGTGGTACAAGCAGTGAAGTGCGCGCTCCGCTGCGGCGGCCCGGGGTTCGCTGGTGCGGATCCTGGGCGTGCACTCACGCACCGCTTGTCAAGCCATGCTGTGGCGGTGTCCCATACAAAGATGAGGAAGATGGGCACGGATGTTAGCCCAGGGCCAATCTTCCTCAGAAAAAAGAGGAGGATTGGTATCAGATGTTAGCTCAGGGCTGATCTTCCTCACCAAAAAAATTTAAAAAAAACTGTGGTGTTTAAAATTTAAAATGTGGTGTTAGGATAACTTGGAATATCTATAACTCTGCAAATCAGAGTGTCTCATTATTTATATATACTTAAGCAGTTCTAGTTACGTCGAATCATTATTGTAGACTTGAGTCTTAATCTCTTTGTTCCTCACTTTCTTCATATATAAAACAGGTTTAATAAAAGTGCCAACCTCACAGAATATTGTGAGGATTAAATGAGTTAATATATGGAAAGCACTTAACACCAGGCAAGGAACACACTGCATGCTCAGTAAGTGTTAACTATTATTACAAGGCTAGATGTACTATAAAATTTCTATTTCACTGATTAAATTTCTTTAAATCAACAGGGCAAGACAGGCTAGCAGCTTTAAGGTCAGTAAGATTTAAAAAAAAAAGACTTTAAAGAGTTATTACTTGATATTCTAACCAATCAAAGATTATCAGAAGTGACCTTTTTCTCTATGTACCCCTTTTGATAACAGAATCTATCAGAAACATTAGTCATGTATTTCATGATCCTTTTAAGGCACAAGTGCTTCTAATTCTTTTTCCTATTCCCTCTTCCATTTCTGATTCTTTTTTATTTCAAAAGAATTGGTATTTTGACAAATTTATCTAGAAAGTTATAATAAATTATACTCAGCCTACCAAGAAATATTCAATTTTGGCAGTTGTACAGAATTTGAGATGTAACATTCTTTTCTGGGTGTACACAGGGTTTTCAGATAAGTTCTCTACAATTATCATTTTAGTTCATTAATTAGATCAGTATCATCTAAGTGTCTTTTATCTCTGCTCTTAATTGGAGATATACAGCATTCCACACTTGGAAAAAACCCTAATACATTCACCTAATCTAAAAATTCTAAAGAGATAATTCAGTTTATCCAACATTATGTAAACCATATAATTTACTCTTAAATTTAACTGATTTTCCAAAATGTTCTACCGTGGAAAAAACATAGCTATCTGGTTGTGGGCGTGTGCCCAGGGTGCCCTGTACACCTTCTTCACCTAAGGATTTCTAAGGTGACTATGTGTGGTTAAAATCATACATGTTTGAATCTGGGTTATCTATTTGATAGGGCTGGAAGACTCCACTACAAAAATTTTTAAAGGAAGAATGCAAGGGGAACTTGAGAAAGTTCTAATTGATTTCAAAGATACAATTAAGTTCAATAAATGGGAAAGTCACTGTGTGAACAACACACGATCCACCCTTTTACAAGGGTGCCCTCCCTTCTGCCTGCAGGCAGGCCCCCCAGGCCTCTCCCGGCCCTCTTCTCCACCCAGAGCACTTGCACTGCCAGGATTCCTGAGAGAGGCACTACAGCCCCAGCCCGCCTTCTTCGCCCATCACCTGACCTCCACCCTGTGCAACAACAACTCTCTAAGGCCACCAGAACCTCCTAATTGCCAAGTCTAACTGCCTCCGAGTCCTAGTCCCACTCCACCTCTGCAGCATGGACACCCCTGGCCATTTCTTTCTCATTCTTGATACTTGCCTCCTCAGGCTTTTGTTGAGATTACACTGTCCTCATTCACTCCTGATCTCTCAGTGCATCATTTCTTAAGGCTCCATCCCACACAATCTTCCACTTGAAGGTTTCCATCCCAACCCACAATCTTCTTCCTCGATGAAGCACTTAACAATGCTTCCAGGGAGAATAATTTTCTTAACTCCTTAATACTTTTTCACCTCTAACTCTCTTAAAGTGTGTATCACACTCTAAGTTTTACTCTAATTTTCTATGTTAATAAATTAGCTTGTCAGCTACAATGTATGTAACAGAGAAAGAGGTGGTGACTTTTCAAGATAGGAGAATCCAAGGGAGGGAAGAGGTTACAAAGGAGAGAACCTAAAAAAACACAAGACAAAAGGAATACTTCACTCAAGATTTAATGAGCAGCTGCTACAAGACAGACAGTATGCTAGGCACCGGGGTTCAGCAGAGAGAAAAACAAACTAGATCCTGCCCTCACAGCCCTACCACAGTCTAGCAGGAAAGACACGACTCAAACATGAAATTCCAGTGGGGCACGTGCTACGAATGTCAGGCACACACAGCGGACAACACAGGTTGGGCGGTCAGGGGCTTCTCTGAGTGTGTGGCTGCCTAGTTGTGACAGAAACGACTAGTAGGCATTAACGAGCAGAAGGGGAGGATGCTTTCCAGGAGGAGGAAGAACACATGAAGGCTGTGCTGAGACGAGTGGCTGACAAAGCTGGAGATGTAGGCAGTTGCTAGGTGACGGCGTGCCGCAGCCTTGTTAAGGCTATTGTTTCCATCCTAAGAGTTATGAAATGAAAGCACAGGGCTTTATTTCTGCATGCAGCATGACCAATGGATTGGAAGGGGCAAAAGTGTTTTCAGGAGGAGTTCTTAGAGATTACTGCAGGATCCAGACACAGACAGCTTGGACTAGGGTGGTAAGCGTCATTGGACAGCTCAAAGAAACAAGACTTGGGAGAAACTTGTTATGAAAAAAGGAGAGAGAATTCCTAGATTTGTAACCTGTGTAACTAGACGAGATGGTGACACTTACAACGTCAGGAACAATAAAAGGTTCGTGGGTTTTGAACACGGTGAGATGCCTCTGGGACATTCATGTGGCATTATCTGTCACACAGGGGAATGCCCGTCTCAGAGGGCCATGGGGAGGATTAAAAGAGGTAATATATGTAATGCCTAGTACAGAACTCCACACATCACAAGCAGTTAATCAATAGTGGCCCTCCATCAAACCCTCAAGGGCTCTACAGTGCTCTAAGAATTAAGTCCTAATTCCCAGTGTGGTATTTAACAATGTTCACAATCTGGCTACAGTCTACCTTTTCCAATTTTTTCTCTCTACTTCTCCCCTCAAACTCCATGCTCCAGCCTACTGTTCTACCACTGTGCCCCGAGGTGACACAGATCCAAACTCGACACCTTTAGTGCTCCCACAACCTCCAAGTTGTTGCCTAGTCAAAGCAAATTTCAGCCCCCATTAAGGTCTGGCTCCAGTTCTACCTCTTCCGGGAACCTCTCTCTTAATGCACAATGATCTCTCTCCTTCAAATTCCTAGAGCTCTCATCTGTAATAGTCATGTAACAATATCAAATGTAGTTGATCACGTGTGTTTTCACATGCATTACGTCATACTTCCTAACTAAACTCCTAGGGTCCTGTTCTGTCTCCCTCATAGTGCCTTAACCACTGCAGGTGGTCAATAAATACTCACTGACAAGTCCATCAGTGGATACATTTTCAATTATGACATATTAGATATGGATACCTTTAAGATTTCAGGGTCTGAAACCATGGTTACTTGTTGCTTGATTTCAGGCTCCACATTCATCAGGTCTTCTTGTTTAATTCCAGGGTTTGTACACATGAGTGCTTCTAGGTTAAATTCGGGGTATGTACCTATAGGCAATTTTTGCTTGATTTCAGAGTGTGTACACATGGGAACTCCTTGCTTGGATTCAGGATCTGTACACACGGGAGCTTCTTGCTTCAGTTCAGGATCTATACACATGGGAACTCCTTGCTTAGATTCAGGGTCTGTACACATGGGAACTCCTTGCTTGGATTCAGGATATGTATACATGGGAACTCCTTGCTTGGATTCAAAATGTATATGCATGGGAACTCCTTGCTTGGATTCAAAGTGTGTACACATGGGAACTCCTTGCTTGGATTCAAAGTGTGTTTGCATGGGAACTCCTTGCTTGGATTGAGGGTGTGTACACATGGGAACTTCTTGCTTGGATTCAGGGTGTGTACACGTGGGAACTTCTTGCTTGGATTGAGGGTGTGTACACGTGGGAACTTCTTGCTTGGATTCAGGGTGTGTACACTTGGGAACTTCTTGCTTGGATTCAAGGTCTATATACACAGGAACTTCTTGCTTGCACTCAGGGTGTGTACACATGGAAATTTCTTGCTTGGATTCAGGGTCTGTACACATGGATACCACCTGCTTGTCCAAAGTTATTACACCTTTGGGTTTTTGGAGAAACCATGGCGATTTCTGTCCTGGCAAAAGATATGATGCCACTCCTTTATAAAAAAGAGCTTTGTTTGGTCCCAAAGGTAATATCTCTTCTAGCTTTTTCTCACCTTGATGTAAGTGAAGAACTTTAGATATGTGGTCTGCTACAGCTAAAATAATGTTGCCTTTTTTGTCAAAGTTCTCTTTTACAGAGGTATAGGAAGACAAGCACTTGTATCGAAAGCTTTCAAACATGCCTTCCGGGATTATGTCATTGCCAAGGAGGCAGGCCAGAAGAGGAAGGTCCACCAGGCTGAGACTCAGACTCTTGCAGAGCTTCTCTCTACAGAGCATGATGGTATCGAGACTCTCCAGGCAGAGCTCACTAATTGAAAAATAGGGACAGGTATCGTAAATTAAGTAGTCAGTATCTTCTCCAAGAATTCCAAGACAGTTATTCTGGAGACCATAGGAAGCCACCTCATAGTCGGCCTCCTGTAATGAACACAGAGTTTCCTGACCCAGGGTCTTCAAAGCAAATCGCGTAAAAATGGCCAGCCCTGAGGGGATGAAGAACATGTTTCTGCCGGGCTGCTCCTTGTGTGACTTGATGTAATGGAAAATCCTGGATATCTCCCTATTGTTCTTGAGTCTTCGTTTCACCCATTCATCTCTCTTATCCTGCTCCACCATGCCATCAAAGAAGAATATCAACTTAATGCCAACAGCTGTAAAAGTTTTAACAAAATCTCTCAAAGCAGAAAAGTATTCTCGCCATTGGCCACCGCAGATCCAAGATTCGGGAGTATACCAGTATCTGAGACAACACATGGCATCAACCACAATGGTAGGAGTACATCCAGGATACTTGCTTCGGTGGTGCTCTGCCAGTTCTTTGAAATTTACTACTGTACATATATGTGGGCAGGTACTTCCCACAAATCCCTGCAAACCTCTCACACCCATAACTGAACTCCTGGAAAGGTTCTGGAAAGGAAAATAAACGAGTAATTATGGCATCATCACTAGACATATGGCACCTTCCAAAGCAAACAGGACAATATTTAACATTCACTCTCTATTTCCATAAAAACTCTGGTCACCAACATGATGTGTAACATAACATACTGGTTAGGAGCCTAAAGAGTTTTCAATGAAAACACACGAAGAACTTTACTTAAGTATAAGTTACTTCAGTTGGACTTTCACAAGAACAACACAGGATAGCAAATCTTTTAAGATTTTTCACTAAGACTATTATACAAGAGATTTCTCAACCAAATTCAAAAACAAATTAAGCTTTCAAAGGAGTAACATTTCCCACCCAGGAACTCAAATAGAATTTTGAAAACCTAAAACATAAACTGATACATGCAACATGGATGTTTCTCAAAATAATTTTGCATAGTGAAAGAAGCCAGATCAAAAAAGAGTACACACTCTACGATTCTATTGATATAAAATTCTAGTTCATTGAGAGTTGAGCTTATCTGTAGTGACAGGGAGCAGATCAGTGGTTGTCTGGGGTTGGGGCAGGTGGGAGGGAGGGATTTACAAAGGCGAAACTTTTGGGGTGATGGATATGTTCACCACCTTGACTGTGGTGATGGTTTGACAGGTGAACACGTGCTAAACCTTGTGAAACTGTACACTGTAAATATGTGCAATTTACTGTATGTCAAGTACACCTCAGTAAAGGTGTTAAAAAGAAAACGACATAAATATTCACTATGCCAAATGTCTATAACATTTGAGATGGTGACTGACTGACTTTGAATAGAAAACTGCCTATGCCAAAATGTAAAAACATACAAAGTAGTTAAAGAGTTAGAATTAAAAATTTGGAAAAAAAAATCCAAGCAGAGTACTTTATGTAATAATTAAGATGTCCTTACATATAATAAAAGAAGTAATATAAGACATTCTTCAGATAGGTAACATCCATCGATAGAAAAAATTCCACGATGACATCTTTTATCTTAATGGCTTATTCTTTTCACTTTGGTTTTCTTTAAGAGTCACCAGGACTTCATGTTCTTTGATAAAACAAAACAAAAAAAACCCTTATTATGCAAAAAGCAACACAAGAATAAATGATGTTTCTCGCAGGCTTGGACTGAGGGCAGTGGCCGTCAGCGGCCGAAGCATCAGTAACAGCTCCCGCGTTACAGTGTACTCACTTCCCACCAGCCAGCACTGAACACTCCACACACAAAGTCTAGTCTTTAAAACAACCCTGGGGGCCACCCCCATGGCGTGGCGGTTAGGTGCGTGCGCTCCGCTGCTGGCGGCCCAGGGTTCGGATCCCAGGCGTGCACCAACGCACCGCTTGTCAGGCCATGCTATGGTGGCATCCCATATAAAGTGGAGGAAGATAGGCACAGATGTTAGCACAGGGCCAGTCCTCCTCAGCAGAAAGAGGAGGATTGGCATGGATGCTAGCTCAGGGCTCATCTTCCTCACAAAAATTAATTAATTAATTAATTTAATTAAATAAATAAACAAAACAACCCTGACAGGTAAAATCCTAAGTTCTGTTTCACAAAGAAAATGTAAATAAATTACTAAGCTGAGAAAAGGCACTCTCACAGGCTTATCTTTTGAGAATTTACTGACTGGTAATGGATACTGGCCCCTAACAGGAGAATCTGGAGTTATCTGTTTAATAGCCATTACTATGAAAACATATAAAAAGTGGATATAAATAGCACACATTTATGTTGAAATTTAGAGAAATCTTGCTCATTAAATATAATGGAATACACGAATCCATATACCCCAAACCACTGGAGAGCTATGACAAGTATAGAGTTTATCTTGGGAACTTTATGATCATCTCCACTCTAAGGTGGTTCTACAGCCTGGACCTCTAGGCACGGATCCTACACCTACTAAGTTACATCATATTTCTGAAGCAGGTGGTTTTTCTTATGACATTCCAACAAAGTAGGTAGGCACAGGTTTGGGAAGGGGATGTAAGACACAGAAGAGCGGTGGGAATGGAGAGAAGACAACGCTCAGACGTCATAGACTCTAGGGCATTATTCTGTGCCAAGCTTTGAGTTCAGCAAGCTTGCAAGGTTTGCTGAGGACAAGTGGACCAAAGGCAAATCTTACAAATTTGGAGTCTGACTCAAGTTTCTATATTACGAGAGGAGACTCCCCTTCTTTCACCAGGCTCCGCGCTGGGTGCTGAGGATCCTCTCCCACCAAGCTCACCAGCAGCCAGTGGGAGTTCCTAGTTAGTCATGGGATTGTTCAAGACGCACATGAAGCCAATACACACACATGGAGATAAACCTGGGAGAGTGAGCAAAATAGAACCCGCCGTCACTCCCAGCTCCTTACACAGACCTGGGCCCCCATTTGTGCAGCAGCTCTGCCACATCTGGGTTGGCTGCTTTCCCTCACCAATAAAAAGGGATTTTTGTTTCAAGCATTTTTCTACTCAAACTGCAAGTGACAACATTGAGTTTCTCAAAACACTTTCTCTTTATTTTGCAAGAAGTCGGGCTCAGCCTCTACTCTGATTCTATTCAAATGTTTTTCCTCCTTTCTCACCCCAGTGGTGAAAAGCTAACTATTTTAACTAAACATGCACTGACTTTTCCTGTTTTTCACACTGCCAATTTCTCACATTTTGAATCACAAATTCCCTCAGGAGTGTGAAGTTACAGTGTGCTGTTCTATGGCATTTACAAAGAAAAATCTGGATAGGCAGAGATCTGGGACCTGTGACATTAGAGGATGCCTTCTGGTATTCAGCATCTTCAGAGCATTGAACACTCACACCAGCCACCCATTGATGCTGTTAGCTCAGCGTGAAATAAATGCTTAGGAAGACAAAATCTGTGGATATTACCTTTTTAAATAACTTTTTACTGGTTTCTTTAAGCCTTTTATTGCTAAGAGCATATACTGAGGTTTTTCCTTCTCTAAAGGTAGTTTTTAGGATGATTGCAAATATATATACACACACATAATTTCATTTATTCAACCTGTAAATTACATGGGAAATTTCCATTATCTAGATAATTGTTTAGTAAAAAAACAGAAGTTATGTCTCATTAGGTAGGAGTCTTACTGCCCAAAATACAGTCTGGGAATCACTTCCGTTACTGTGGGCCTCCTCAGGGCAGATGACATCACTTGCTGTCATATCTCCAACACCCAGCACAGTGTCTGGCACACGAGAGGCCCAGTAAGTATTTGTGAATGAATGAATAAATAAGCATCAAAGCACAGGCATATAAAAAATCAGGAATCGACAAGTTTATATACTCCAATTGTGGGCAAAGAAAGAATACAAAGTGGAGTCACCACCCTCAACTGGCTGACAAGCTGGTTTGGGAAAGAGCATCACGCAGGACTTTTTACGAAGGAGCAGTCAGCAGGGACACAAGTACAGCGGGAGTGTGTTATGCCGGAGGTGGCCTCACTCCTAGGAATGGCTTCATCCTCCCCTTACAGCTGGACCAATCCCAATGTACTGGGTTACTACTAAATGGGGAAGTGGAGAGAAGAGGAAAGAGAAGTCCAGAAGCTCCTTTATTCACAATCTTTCAACTGACAAACACTTAGAGAAATGAAGAGTGACATGTCTCAGCAAAAACATATCAACCCTACCCGCCACTGATAGAAGGCGTCAGAGTACACGTCCAGAGTCACCTGGGACACAAGGACAAATGGACTCACCAACAGCTCACGGGGACACTTTCCATGTGAAGAGCAGTGTTGCAGAAGGACAACCAGTACCAGCAGTTGTGATCACCTTAAGGCACACTCAGCATCCCAGTGGTGTCACAGCATAATTTTCAAAGGCCAAAAGACATCCCCCATGCAAATATAAATTAAGGAGGGAGCCTGTAAGAAGGGAAGCTAGTTCAGAGGGCATTTGAAGAGCTGGAGTTGACTAAAATAAGCTTAAGTTGGAGACAAATCTGGTTAATGTCCTACAGAGCAATAAAACTATAACCTTTGAACTTTTTTATCAGACAGAAATAATTTGTATCTCTACAAGACAAAAATCTACAAATTAACATGAACATCACAGTGTTTGGGCTCTAACCAAGAGTAAACAGCAGAGTCAGCGAGGTGCGTTCTGTTAGGAAATTAAACTATCTTGGGTGCCTCTGTTAAGCAACTGCCCAGTATGAGTGACAAAACATGCAGTCCCGTTTTTTCCTTGCTTCATTTCCAAGTCTTAGATAATTTTTCTTTCAATGACAATAACAGCTGGCTGGGCCTAGGCCCTCTCGGTGAGGTCTTCTCATGGCTTGATGTACAGTATCTGGAGTCTGCTCTCTTTCTTCTCTCCTCTCCTCCCCACCTAAAAAGAGAAACTTACAAGGACCCCTTCAACACAGTAGGGTAAGAACAGGGACTGAAAATTCCAAGAGATTAATATTTACCCCACGCCCACACATGCAACAGTGTTTGCCCAGTGTTTACTGAGTATTTATGAATGCACAGACAAATAACCAGGTGAATAAGTGAACTGAAGGTGGCTGCCACTTAGGTTAGTCTCAATGCTTCAGAGGACCTCCACACAGGACTCATAAAACTACTGACAAAGACGCTCTCCTTGGCCAAACTTTAGTCATGCTCCTTGGCCCTCTTCTAGACTAAGGCTCGACCTTGGGCTTCCACATTCATCCTTGCCAAGTCCAGTTTTAGCAAGAATCCTACTGAGTCAGTTTATAGAAAATCCCCTACCCTCGATATACGATCACCTCAAGATCTGATCAAATTCCTCATCCCCTACCCTTGATTCTCTCACTGACCCCCTCACTCTGCTGGTTGGCTATAAACACCCAGATATCTTTGCTATCTTTGGAGTTGAGCTCCATCTCTCTCCCCATTGCAACATCCCTATTGCAATAGTCTTGAATAAAGTCTGCCTTACCATTTTAATAAGTGTCAGAATAATTTTTTCTTAAACGCTGACACCTCAAAGAAGCTTATTCAAATGAGAAA